CTCGTCTCCTATTTAGAGTAGAGGCAAACTAGGGAGAAAGGTTCTTATTTATATAAGTTATATAAAACTCTAGTTTTTTAGACGATATAAAAAAACCCTAATTTTTTAGTAGAAAAAACTCTAATTTTTAACGTAGTATAATATAGTAATATATATTAGTTTCTTTTTATTTTTATATAAAAAACCTGTGGGTTATCCACGACTCTAATGGGTTTACCCATTAAACCCGTAACCCTAATAGGGTAATCCACCAGAACCCATTTATTTATATAGGTACAAAAACTCAATCCAAATCCGCTAAATCTATGGGCAGGTTTGAGTAACCCATAAGTATTGACCCATTTTGACATCCTAAGTTTAGTAATAGCCGGTTATATCCGGTTTTGTTTACCGGCTCCAACCGGTTTTCGCTACCCTTTAAACGGCACCGTTTTGTGAAGAGACGGAATTGGGTCTATCTATCTGGCGAGGAAGATGGAGAGGATTTAGCGTTTGTTTCAGAGAGAAGTTGTCGACGAACAAAGTGTTCTGTATCCTTCTCCACACCGACGAGCCCTAACCCTAACTCTTGAAACCTATATTTATCGTCATGTACTGTACTTTGCGATTTCCGTTGCCGCTTCACGTTCCTCGTACCCGAACAATGTCGTCGTCCTGTAAGCCGAAACGACGCTGTGTGGAGCATTTCCGGTGCTGTGGTCAGTCTAGTCTCCGTGAAGGTGACGAAGACGTAGAAGATGCCGATGATAAGAGGTGATGCATTTTCATTGTCTAACTTTTTCCAATTTTGTTTCTCCAGAAGAAGAAAAAACTAGAATGGTTTTTCTTTTTTGCAATTGGGGGTTTGCTCTTGTAATTTACGGCTAATGATTGATCTTCAGTGTTCGTGTTCAAGGACTAGTGTCGATTGTGGTGGAGAGATACGGAAATGGCACTTCGAAAAGGTCGGCTTCAGGTTTCTGATCTTATCTTATTAGCTGAATATTCATTCATCAGAACATCTGTTTAAACACACTGACTTCTTGTGCAGATTTTTGCTAGATGATGATGAATCGCCTTTACAAGGCATTCTCGAGGAGCGTGAAACTAAGCCTGATGATGATAAATCTCAGCTCTCAAATTCCTCAGAAACGAACACGCTTTGGCTTCCAGATGTTGTTAAGGATTTTGTTTTTCCCACAGGCTTTCCTGGTACTTCCTAGCTTAAAAGTTCATGTATCCTTCTGTCTTCTTCCTTGTTGGGAATCGCAGATTGCTAAGCTTGCAGAGTTTTAGTAGATCCTATTGTGATTCAAACTCGTAAATCGCATGGCAGGGTCGGTTTCAGATGATTACTTGGACTACATGCTGTTGCAGTTCCCTACTAATATTACTGGGTGGATTTGCAATGTATTAGTCACGTCTAGTCTTCTAAAGGCATGTCCTGTAATTTATTGCGTTGTTTTATTGTTTGTTCTAGAGATGGGTGTTGAGAATGTTGCAAATCATTTGAATTTCGTATGCAACAATGCAGGCAGTTGGCGTTGGCTCTTTCTCAGGAA